GACTGGCTATTAAAGACTGAGGCAAAGTCCCAGCATAGTAATAGAAGCCACATAAACCTCAGACTACACTGTATGCACATTGCAGCCCAATGGCATCACCTCACTCTTTGTCATGGTTTCAGCTGGGACGGGGTTAAATTTCTTCATAGAAGCTGATGTGAGGCTGTGTTTTGGATTTGTGAGGAGAAAATGTTGATAACATGCTGAGGTTTTGAGTTGTTGCTAAGTAGTCAAAGACAGCCCAGCTCTGGAAAGGGACCTGGGGATCCTGGTGGACAGGAAGCTCGAGTGACCAGTGAGCGACTGTGGCAAAGGAAGCCAACAGCGTGCTGGGTTGCATCAACAAGGGCGTCATTATCACTTGTCAGGCCACACCTGGAATACTGTGTTCAGTTTTGGTCCCTGCTATACAAAAAAAGATGTGGACAGGCTGGAGACAGTCTAGAGACGGGCCACTAAGATGATGAAAGGACTGGGCAGCCTGCCGTATGGAAAAAGGCTGAGAGAACTGGGTTTGTTCAGCCTTGAGAAAAGAAGGCTTAGGGGAGACCTTACCACCATGTTCCAGTATTTAAAGGGTGGCTATGAAGATGATGAAGACTCCATTTTTACAAAGAGTGACATGGAAGAGACATGGGGTAAATGGATACAAGTTACTCCTGCGAGGTTCTGATTGGACACAAGAGAAAAAGTTTTCATAATGACGACAGCCATCGGAATAATCTCCACAGGGAAGTGGTGGATTCCCCAACATTGGACACTTAAGAAGCTGGACAGGGTGCTGGGACACCTTGTCTAGATGATGCTTTTGCCAAGAAAGGCTGGACCAGATGATCCCTGAGGTCCCTTCCAAGCTGGTATTCTACAATTCTATGATTCTCCCCACAGGGATTGTACTTCAAGCTCCTCATTTTTTGGCCAAAATACACTAGCCACTGACCAACTGGAAAAAGAAAAAAAGGTAAAAAAAAAAAAAGACCGAGTAGTATACCATCCTTAGGTTTTGTTTGCTTTAAAGCAGATCATAATGCAATCATAATTTGGATGCAAAATCCTAGGCTTTGCAGCATGCCCTAGATTGTACTCCTACAGCATCTTGATGTGGTGGGCACCATCCTCTGAATTTGAATAGACCTCAAGCACCAACTATTTAAAAAGTTCAGCATGCTCAAAACTAAATTAGCTCTGGTCTCAGTGCAGTGTTGCAGCTCATAATAATCTCTCTACATGCATCACAGTGTAAGCTTTGGACTTGGAGATAAAAGCAAGATACAAGCAAGGTTGTCAGCACCATGATTTTGAATTACTAAAATTCCATCAAAGTTTATCGATGGAATTTTATTAATTAATATGAATTAGACCTCAATCTAATGCAAAGTGCATAAAGTAAACTTTAAATACCTCACCTAAACTTCTTCCACCAAAAAAACCCTTACCTCAGTCCATTTCAGCAAACTGAAACACGCAAACATAGCTGAGTTACTCTCAGTCACATTCCCTTTTATTTCACAGATGTCAATTGCTAACAAAGCTAAACAAATCTGAAGTTCAGATCAAGTCACTGAAACTTGTTCCAAAGGCTTGGAGGAACAGACTTTAAGCAATTTTTTTGTCACTTCAACCCTTATTAGATCCTCTGCTTTGAAATATAAGATGCAACAGTGAAAACACATTTTGACTTGTTTGACATCTTTTTAACATTTTTAAGCTATACATCCTCTGCATGAAAACCAATAAATATGTTAGTGTGAAAACAGACTAGAAAAATCTCATTAATCTAGAAATACCATTAAGAAGAAACCTTTTTTGTTATGTAGATGATTCTTATCAGTGACTCAGTTGGAAAATTTTCTCAGGTTACCATGTTTTGCACAGACTACACAGCATTCTTGGATTCAGTCCAGATTTAAAGAGAACTAATTCACTCCTCTTCTGAAAAAAAATGCCAGTTTTAAACATAGATAGCTGAAAATGGAAAGCAGCCTTATGAGTTAAATATTTTTTATGCAGCTGAATTGAGACATACCAGAAGTAAATTAAGTTCAGTGCTGAAGAGAAGCTGGATGTAGTCACTATGAAGCTTTCAATCCAATCATATCTTTGGAAAAGTCAGATTTAATATCACATTAACTCACAATTTTTTAATCTATTTGGTAATTCTGCTGGAGCACAGATCCTGATTATTGCTTTGAAATGTACAACATTATCATTGAAACCCAGATGCTTGTCTAGAGTTCTTAGTAGCCAAAATTAAAAAGATCAAATAGAGGACAGTAGGAACAAAGGCACATGGTTAATTTATAAAAGTATTTACAGGCTACTTGAACATTTATTTTGATCTACTAGAAACTCACTCATCTTGAATACAAAAAGACTATTGAAACATATTAAAGGAGATCATCCTAAACAGATGTTCTTGAGCAGTATGAGCAGAGAATCTTATACACCATTAAATTATTTCTGGAATTAAATTTCTCATTTCGAATATGGAATTTCCAAACATTAAAGTTCATAAATTTATATTCCTCTAAGCACTGTGATACTGTAGTGCAAATCACTTCAAAGGTTGAAGGTGACACAGTTAAGGCAGTCTGCTAACAGTATTTTAAAATTCAGCACACAGTGTTTAATCATTGAGGTGCCTGGCAGTTCTCTATTTGGAGAGCTCTTTTGAAAGCTTCACTCACAGCATCATCCTTCTAGCTGATGCAGTCTCAAACACAGAATGTTTAAACACCACAGGTCACTCACAGTGTTTTGGGGTTTTGGAGGTGGGAAGGGAAGAGGAGCCTAACATCAAGCCGTTAGCTCCATAAGCAACTCTGCAGAATGGTTAACATCCTCAAGTTTATGTGTAGATTTACTGTATGTTGTGCTAACCTTTATGGGCTGCCAACAAGACGCTTCTAAAACACCACCCATTACAGTCAAACCTGTAAGCACTCTGTAAACCCTGGTACTGTAACCTTCAGTCCACTGACAGTGTTTCAACATAGTCTGTTGCCAAAAGCAAACTAATTTTCCTAGGGTGGTGTTTCCCCCCCACCCCATGGGAACTCATTGATGCACAAGTTAAAAATAAAAAAACCCAACCTCTCTGAACAAATTAACCAAACTTTTTAGGAGGACTTCATCTCATTCTGATTTTTCCTACAGACTTGAACTAGTAATTTTGAAACTATTATCCTCAACTACAGTGAAAGATTTTACTCTAGTAGTATGGAAATAGTTTCCATTAAACTTTAATAAGGCTATGCCTTATTAAAAGGTGACTAGTGCTGCCTACCTACAACTGATAAGTTGAGGCACCAGAACTGAACATTACTTGAAGTGTTAGAAAATTCCACAAAAGAAAAAAAACCCTGCATAGTATGTGATCCCTTTTATTTACCAAAGCTGCCCATGTATATCCTAGGTGGAAGATAGCAGAACAGCTGCTCTGCCTTCAGATGCAGGTGTGTATAGCGCTTGCTATAACATCTTTCCATCTTGCTTGTTGTCACATGTCTTCAAAGGACAGTTACATAAGTGGGAAGAAAGAGAAAATAGAATACCATTTCCAGACAGATCGATATTCCTCAAAGTTTTCATCTGAAATATTAAGGTAAATTTATTTACGATGAAAGTCATCAGAAGACCATTCTCCTGGAATTAAAATATTTTGGTGTTTTTCTTTGGAAAAAAAGAAAAAAGCAAAACCAATACACATTACTAAAACCACAGATGCTGTGGCTTTCCTGCCTGCCCGTCTCTCCTTACATATGTCCATACTGATGACCGAGCCAGTTCAAAAAAGTCTAATCACTATCTAAATTAACAGGGTTGTAGTCAGGGTCATCCTCTTCATCCTCCAACTCTAAATCATCCATTTCTTGGAATAAAGATTCATCAACCTCCACGCTGTTTCCAGCTGCAAAGAACAGAAAAATAATTTATCTTCAAGCAAGCAGAAAAACAGTACCGGGACAACAAAAGACACAACATTTTCTCATATTAATTCTTTAATGTAGATAGCTGTTAACTTACTTGGCTTTTTATGTATCAAATAGATATGGAAAAGGAAACACCACATTTTATCTTTTTACAGCTAAAGTGAAGCTTTTTTCCCCTCAAACCAAAACCCAGTCAAGAGAAAGGTCACACAGGACCTCAGAATCCATTGGGAGAATGAAATTAACATTTACAGTTGCCAGAAGCAGAGATCCTTTCTCCCAGGTACTGTCAAAGCAGGAACTCAGGACTCCACAGCTGGAATATTTACAATTATTATAGCCACAGAAACACACAGGGTTCATAAAAAACCCTTTACACACCATTTATATGCTTACATACGCGCATTTGTCTACAGATTTAAATTTTAAAAACAAGATGAAGCTTTGCATGCTTTCACATTTTCTTCTGAAAGAGATGCTGCTGACCTAAGGATAAAACTTGAGGACTATTGCTATTGTATTTGTGTGTATGAACAGTGACATCTTCTGGCCACTGAATAAGGTTCTGTTCTTTCACTGGATTTGAAAGCGCCTTTATAACCATTTCCAGCTAAAAGATAATGCCATTATCCCATTTAAGCTGTGAAAATTAGTATTATTACATGGTACTGTAATATTAAATTCCAGTTAGTAACCTGTTGCATTTATGATAGAATGCAAGCAGCAATAGGAACAGGAGTTTTTGATCACCTATAGCAACAGGACTAAAAGTCAACACATTAATTCCAAGTCATTTGAGCACAGAGCCCAAATGCAGAGGTCTGTTCCTCCCTTGAGATAGCCAAACGTTCTATTGACAATCCATCTTCACTTCAGGCATTCCGGAGGAAAACAGGGTTAAAATATGCCCTTTAACTAAAAGAAACTCAACTCCCTCATGACTGTCATTTCAAGTTTATACTCACTGATGTTCATAAACAATGTTTTTTTGGTGGTTTTTTTTGTCAATTGTTACCTTGCAGAGAAAATTCTGGACCCTCCTCTGCATGTGTTTTGCAATACCAGTAGATAATGCAGCTACATTAAAGAATTGCCTTAACTCAAAAATCTTTTAAACTAAGATACTAAAAGGCAGTACAGAAAATTAAGTAGGTATGTGACTGTGAGTAGATTTAACTCCAACAGATTTTCCAAGTTTAACACCTTTTGGCACAGGCATACAAAATTTTCAGCTGAAACTAGGTCAATTTTTTTAGTAAGATAATAGACAAACCTGCACAAAACCACAACGAAGAACTGGGTTGCACAGAGGCAAATAGCATTTAATTTGACCCACAAGATGTTTAGTATTGGTGTTGAGGTTCACAGCGAAGACAGAACTTCAAGATCTGTGACTGAAATCAGGGGTAAGAAGGCTGGCTATTAGAATTAAAAAAAAAGAAAAAGCAAGGTTTGGTTGTGGGTTTTTTTTGTTTTGGTTTTGGCTTGCTTCCAGTCCAAACACTTGAATAGAAGCAACAGAAATTAGATCCACTCAAGCTCAAAACTGCAAATAAACATGCTTTAGGGTCTTGAAAATGTTGTGTGTGTTTGTTTTTGAAAGAAGTTAAAAGTTATTTCCATTAAATCTGCAAAACAGTATGTCTCAAAGTTGTTCCAACGTAAAAGGGATACTGAGGTAAGATGTTAAGGCAGAAGTATAATATAGATTTCACTTAGGAATTTTAACCTATTTTAAGCCACTGTCTTTCAGTTGTGGAAATAAGCATGATTTTACCTTCCTCCAAGAACTGAATGTCAGAGGTGTCAAGGTTGTGATCCATTTCAAACAGTTGTTTCCCTAGAAATAAAAAAAATTAAGAAATTACATATAAGCAAGTAGAATTCTGAAATAACTATCAAAGTCAACAATAGTTAGCACATGTATCTTAGGTTTTTTAAATTAACCAATTTGAGCAGTCTTTTTTTTTTTTAAAGTGCTCATTTCTACAAGTTCCCCATTCTGATTTTTTGACTACTCATCCAGAATTCTTCCAAGCCAACAGGCTTCCTCCTCTTACATGTGAAATGGGTCACTGTTTCTTACAGTTACTTTAATGTTACTAAGGCTTTAATAAGGGGGGGGGTCTTTGCTCAGTCGTTATGGTATTAGTCCCCATCTTGCATTCCACAAGAAAACCTCTGTGGGAACTGGAAAGGAAATTAGCTGCCTCCTCCAACTTTTTCCATACATCCTCCCTGTTTGCAAAGCGACTTGGATCTACACACAAATCACCAGCTCCTACATGTTACCCCAATTAAAGTTAAAGTTACCCCCAATTGGGTGCGCAGCAAAACTCCTGTGTTCAGGTTATCAACATATTGTAGACATCTGGAAGGCTTTTTCATGAATAAAACAAAAATGATAGTAGGAATACAACTCCAAGATTTCAGTATCATAAATTGTAAGAGACATTCTCACTAGTCATCATAAGCTTATCATATGCAGCAGCCAGCCTCTGTGTTGCTTCAGTGCAGTGACAGCATTCCAAACTCCCACATGCACTTGAATAATCTGAAGTCACTGTACAATCCAGTGCAATAAAGGCCACATCAATAAACTGTCTGATGTAGATTCTTTCTGTTGCTTAACAAACCCCAACTACCTCTGCCAGAACAACGCTTGTCAGCAGCAGCTCCAGGTGGTATACTGTCTGGCACAAAACCTAAGGAGCTTAAACACACAGTTTGGGAACCTTAATGACTCCAGTAGAAATCCTGAATCTATTAGCTTTGTATTTATCCCCAAATCAGCACATAGAAAGACTTCATGCAACATGGAGGACAATAATCAAATACTGCATTAAGAGTTTATTTACTACCATCATCTTTGGGTGTAAAAATTACTTTCAGACTTGTCATTATAGTCCAGTAAAATTGCAACAGCTTCAGGACCAATTTTAAATCATACCGCTTAATTTATTTTTGCCTGCTTGTTCTTCTTCTTTCATTTTTTTCCTTTTTATTTCCAGGAGTTCTGCATCAAACTTTGCTTTCCAATTTAGGAAATTCTCAATGGTAACAGGAGTGCCATGAAAACGTTGCTGAAAGAAGAGAAAACAAGGCTGCAAACACAACTTGCAAAGCTATGAGTGAAGATGAGCATTCTCTTAATTATTTAAATTACAACATTCCAGAAGCACTGCTTGCTGTGAAGTATTCCAAGAAATTAATCCTAACCCTGAGAATATACAAAGAACATATTCTTACCGTTTTTTGTCATGGGACTCTCCCCTCAGAGAGCTGTACTGAGGTGGAAATGCTTATGGAAAAACCCAGCATACTAATTATGGACCTACAGCGCAATAGTTGGCAACACACCACTAATACAGGTTATCCACAAGTAGGCAGCACTTCTTATCAACTTTTAAGTGCAATCTACACTGAAATACTTTCTGTCAAAATACATTAACCCCTCTATCTTGTTGAGACAGAAAAAAGGGTTCTTCTTTTCCAGCTATTTTTCTGCCATTTTTAGAAATACCAAACCTTCCAAGTCCATCAGCCTCTAGATATTCCTGAGGAAGAAAGTGAAGACTCAGTAGTTGGACTTATCACAGCACACTCCATGAATGGAAAAACTATTCCACAGTGGCTGGTAGAAAGGACACGTGCAGGGAGGACAAACCAGTCTTGAAGACAGGTCCCACTGCTTCCACCCTACCCACTCAGTCTACCAAGGAAGAGACTTCCTCAGATGATGCCGCCTGTGTGCAGCATGCTGTATTCTAGTCTTTTTTGCTCCCCAACCCCTCTTGCCTCTTCACGCAAAAAACTGGCCACAGCAACTTTGATTTTATTTGGGAGAAACCCCTGCTCCTGCCTTAGGAAGTAATGCTAGAGGGGATTGTGAACATCCAATACATCTCTGAAAAGACTGCTTTAGAAAATGGTGGAGGGGATATCAGTTAAACGCACTAAAGAATCTTCTAGTCCTTAAGTTTCATCATATCAGCTCTTGGGTAGATGTTCCTCTCGCACTGCAAACCAAGAATTGTTCCTGCATCAAACCCAGACATTTAAAAAAAGCGGGAAATTTTTAGTTGAAAACATTATTTTACATACTTTCTCTTCTTCTTCTGCTTCTCTTTCTTTCTGTTTCTTTTCCTCTTCTCTTCGTGTTTTTATTTGATCCACTATTTCATTTAATTTGTCCTGTACTGCTGAGACTAGAGTGAAGATCATTACCATTCCTAAATTTTCTTCTGCCTACAACACAAAGAAGGCAACTTCAAACAGAAGCAGAACCTCAAACCTTCAGAAGCTGAATGCATAAGTATGTTTAGAAAACAGTATGCTGTGCAAATGCAGAAAACACAGCTGAGGCACTCTGCACCAGTCCCAGAAGCTGGCTGTAGAATTCAAGTCAATTGGTCAGTTAATCCAGTTAAAGTTACCCTCAATCGGGTGCACAGCAAAACTCCTGTGTTCAGGTTGTCAACATATTGTAGACATCTGGAAGGCTTTTTCATTAATAAAACAAAAACTAGTAGGAATATAACTCCAAGATTTCAATGTCATAAATCATAAGCGACAACAGTCACTCAGAAGCTCTCCTCTCCTGAAATGGCTTATTCCTTAATCCCATTACATGGGATACATCCCCCCTTTGAAGTGGGACAGTTTCCCAGGAAAAGCAAAACATATCAGTTGATGGGAGGAAGTTTATATGAAGTAAACTGATAAGAAAGAATGTCTACTGAACATATTACGGCAATTTTAAGGCAGGGAGGACTTGTCAAAAATTCCTGAAACCAAAGAAGTAGCTCCTTCTCATTCCTTCACAACACACTCTCACTGATCCCAAAAGTTGAAGAGACCCCACCCAAATAGTTATGTTATTAAAAAGAATCAAGAATCAGTGTAGCATTCTTTAATCTTAAAAAAAAAAATTCAAGTAACTTACTTCAGTAAATACTATATGTACATTTAAACAAATTCACCTTAGCTAGAACTGCAAAAGAGGGGAAGCCCTAGAGCACTTCCATTTCATTATTTTATCTGTGCACACTGAATTTGCCCTGTATTTTACCTCATTAACATAATTTATCTCAGTAATGTCATTTACCAAACTCAAACTTCACAGTCTCTACTGTATGGAATATGTTTCAAATCAGTAGCACACACCTCAAAGAACAACTGACATGAGAGAGAAATTCTGCCTAAAGTGTGAAGTCATATCAAGCTGAATTGAGATATTCCATTTTCCTTACCTGTTGTTCTAGTAGTTTTATTATGTCCATGACATCATTATCATCAAGATTCTCCTGTGAAACAATTTCATAAAGTGGACTTTCATCAGGATATTTTTCTCTATAGGTAAATTTAAGGGTTGTTTGGACAGCTACAAGATAAAAAAAGCACATATTCTTATAGTGATAACTTTATGTAACTCTAACTGTATTTTTCTATTGCATTAGCAGCCTGAAGATTTTAAAGTATTAAATATTCTTGTCTTAAAGAAGCAGTCATCTTACACAGATGTCAAAACTGTATGAACGGATTTAAATATAATGCAAGAGTTTTGAGAAATTAAGACGAAGAAGTCTACCCTTACATAAACTATTACAAGCTATTGATGTTTGAAAGGTCTTTTGAAAGACTGGAAAACCTTCTGTGGTATGGTGGGTACTAGAGTAGTAATTTCTTTTCCCTCATATCCCACTTAAAGCTGGAGAAAATGAGCAAGAGTCCTCACAACAGACCTAGAGAGAATCTCAGCATACTAATGCTTAAAATTCTGTGGTCCTGGATGGAGTATCAACCTCTGTGTTGGATACCAGGTCTCCACATAAATCATATGACAAAGACACAATGTCCAGTAGAAGTTAATAAGCAAAGAGGAGAACCACTTAAGGTAAAAGCACTCAACCTGAAGCCACCCAGAACCAGAGTAACACGGAAACAAAGCAAAAGAGAATCAGGTTCCTTTCACGCATCCTGCCAGAATACAAGGGAGAAGCCTTCCTTCAATTCAAGACTCACAGTTCTGGAAGCCCAGCAGCCTCTTCAACACAGACACCTGCTCTGAGTGGAGTTGCTCCTTTAAAACTGAAGGAGACAGCACCAGTTTCTTCCTTCTGGTACAGTAACCAGAACAGCAGCTCTCAAACTCACTCGGAGCAAGGCTTGCTTACAACAAGCCCATGCAACCATTGATACCCAACAAATACATAGGAATTTGGGACCCACAGCTCCTTGCTCTGGAACTGTCCCTTAAGGGCTGCATATTCATGATACACAGACTCAACTTTCCCATGTGGCTGGTATACATACAGTTGCTAGAAAAAAAAAAAAAAAATCACCTCACAACATGGCTGTAAGCAACTATGGGAATGATGACAACCCATACTTTCTCCAGCTAGGCTGGCAAAGCATTTGAGATTCAGTATGTCAGAAAGTAGCCCTAGTGAGAGCAACATTTCTGTAAACTAAACACAGAACACCAGAATCCTTGAAATACATTTTCTGAGGAATGTTTGGTGGACCAGACCCCTAGGAGAACATATGTGGAAATATACCTAGTTGTTGGCAAGAATTAGGCTAAGAATTAGGCTTAAACATATATAGGAGGAGCTTCTGTGTAAGATATGATCAACTTACTTTCATCATTTTCTCCTGCTTCAGATGTCACAGTGATTGTGAAAGTCGTCGGCTTCTCTGACAATACTGTTCAAAGGAGGGGGGAAAAAAAAAAAGACAAGAGAGATATTCCTTAAATCAACTGCTTCTTCACATCATTAAAACTTAACTTCTCAAGGACTAATGAAGCAAGGAAGCTCTTGATACACTGTTAAGGGCCTTTTTACCCTACAAATAAAAATTTTTCAATTAACAGCTATTTCCCATATGATGTGAAGTTTGGAGTGCTCTTCAAGTGCGAGCGTAACATCAACAATACCAAAAAGTTTCTCTTTTGGAAGTTTCACTTTTCCAAAAAGTGCAAACCTACCTACCATGAAATGACTTATGTTAGTCCACGGAATGCGTGCAGAAAGCTCCCAAAGCTAATTTGATTTATTGTGCTAGATATGTGTGATAAGCATCCACTGCACTCTTGACCCTGGACTATTTTTACAGTATGCCTGCACCTATTTCTATATTTAGGACAGCTTAATGTACAAACACTTTTTAAAACAAAAAAGGAATACTGCAAGAATATACTACCCAAGTAACATACTAGAATGAAATTGTGTGAGTGAGGCAGCTAGAAGACAGACAACAAGCGGCTTTACAGAAACACAGAAAACGCAAGACCTGTTGTCCTCTTCTGGGTTGCAGACCTTATCCTCAAATAAGGACTGCTCCGTATCACTATTATAACCTATGCCCAATCAAGTGTATATGCTCTCACAGTATTAGCTGAATTTTGCCTAATTGCTAATGTACTACTACTACCACCACCATCTTTTTTCCTCCCTCTTCTTTTAGGCATAAGATCCTTATATGAATGAACAACAACTCAGAGTAGACATCATAGTAGAGACTACATGAAAGTACATTACTTCCGTATCAGTATCAGTGATTCAGCAGCCCCAGCTACCAGAGACCAATTCATATTCCTTTAAGTAGAGAAACCTGAAGAACCTAAAAGATTTTCAGATTAAGGTAAATGTACTGGACTAATGTCTGTGTCATGAAGTTACTGCCAAGTAAGATACTGTGGGACTTTGAGCCAAGTAGATACTGTGCTGGCAGGGAACAGAAAATGTACAATGATTTCTTTTTGCATTGTCAAATTTTTTTGATACTAAGCACCATAAACCATGCTGGATTAGCTAGCATGGTGGATACTCTTAATTGCTTGATGCTACCTAGGAAGTCCTGAAAACCTGAAGAGCCAACATATCCATCATATGAAAGTTTCAGCAATATAACGTACCGCATCTGGGAATTAAAGTTTGCCTTTGTCCCACCATAGATCTGCAATGGAATAAGGCAGATACTGGCAACACGCTTACAGAGGAAACAGCATCTTTAAGTACCCCAGAACACCCCGTGCTTCGCGGCTGTGAGCAGCTGTTACCAGAAAGGAAAACTGGTCGACACACAAGCCAACTCCCCAATTTCCATTTAGGGACGCATCTTTTGAAAGGTTTCTCCAAAGGGCATCCTTCCACCAGCCCCAGCTCCGGCCCGGACGCAGGAACGGGTGCCCAGGTTGGGCTGCTGTGCCACGGCGCTAAACGTCGCGGAGGCGGGCATCACCCACGCCAGCAACCCTACACCGACACGTACCTGGGGAGAAGCGCCATCGAGCGCTTTGGGTTTCCCGCCTAGGGAAAAACCAAGAAAAAGACGAAAAACATTCAACCCGTGCAGCTACCAGCAAGGAGACGCCTGCAGAAGCCGGGACTGGCA